AGATCTCAACTGTCATGCACGGCTTCAATTCTGTAGTTGTACAGAACATCTTAACTACTAGAAGTGCTTTTCCCTCTGCTTGTAAGGATGTCTTGCCCACCTATCAACAAAGTTTAGTATTTATCGTTTTAAGTGTCGGAGTGAGGCCGACTATCTGGGTAAAACTACTCGACAGCTGGAGGTGTGAAATTTGCTGCACATGTCTGGCTCTATACATAGACATGCTACATTGGCATCAGGGCACTAACAGGTGCATGAGCATTTATTGAGTACTCTCACTTGTGGGTTGAATTATTCAGCAGAGTTCTTCTCTGTGCTGCACAGAACTCAAAGAAAACACTATCTTAACATCTTGGAGGTGGTTGTTATCAACATGTCTCGTTCAGATCTGTGTAGGCAGAAGGAACTGAAACACAAACTTGCACTTTTCGGCGAGTCTGTTTTGTTCTGGGCAACTTTAAATTACCCCCCCAACTCCCTTGTCTCTTTTAGACCGATTGCAAGGAGAATTCTGTTGATTTTCTTCTTCTGATGATGTGTCAGACGAAAGGTACCTTCAGTTTCTTTGTTTAACTGAGATGATACTTTTGTAACCCCCTTTTTCGATTAATGAAATGTTACCTGTTTTAAGAATAATAATTAGATGGTGTGGCCTAAAAATCTTTTTTCAAACATATATATATATATATATATATATATATATATATATATATATGGTTGGATAGATGTGATCTATCCAACCAAATATGTTAGCTCTATCTCTGATATTGAGCGCTTTCCTAATAAGTACCGTGTATATAATATATAAATAATTTTATATATATATATATATATATATATATATATGGTTGATAAATGTGATCTATCCAACCAAATATGTTAGCTCTATCCCTGATATTGAGCGCTTTCTAATAAGTACCGTGTATATAATATATAAATAATTTTTATATATATATATATATATATATATATATATATATATATATATATTTATATACACACACTTTTCATTGGACACATATATATATATATATATATATATATATATATATTAATTACAAAGAATTAATCATACCTTGAATCAATTAGCAATATTAATGCAATTATTGGCGAAGTCTCTTCGCTAGTAGACATAATTATAAGCATTATACTACTAATAATCCACTGAATGATGAGATCCCTATGTATAAAATGGATATGGTGTATTTTTTAATTCAGCTAGTACTTTCGAGTGCTTCATGCATTCATCATCAGGCTGTATTTTTTTTTCCTTTAGAATCAAAAAACTGGAAGACAAAATAAATGTGTTTTTCTGACCAAAAGATGTTTTTAAGAACATATATATACACACACACACACACGTTTTGTTAAAGAAAACTTTGCAGTGATTTTATAACATATTTATGTTATAATTTTTGAATAAATAATTATATTATATATATATATATATATATATATATATTAAAAGAGTTAATCATACCTTGAATCAATTAGCAATATTAATGCAATTATTGGCGAAGTCTCTTCGCTAGTAGACATAATTATAAGCATTATACTACTAATAATCCACTGAATGATGAGATTCTTATGTATAAAATGGATATGGTGTATTTTTTAATTCAGCTAGTACTTTTCAAAGACCCTCGTCTCCATCATCAGGCTGTATTTTTTTTCTTTAGAATCAAAAACTGAAGATGAAATAAATGTGTTGCAGACTGAAAGATGTTTTTAAGAATGAGCTATTTATTAATGGTTGTGTAATGTTGGAGCGTGCAAGTCGCAACGCTAAGGTTCAAATAGTTTAAGTGAGAATTTTTATATGAATTTGGTAATTTAGTAAATCCATGAATTTTTTTTTTATAAGTGTTTTTCAGTTAATATGACATGAACTAAGTAGATAGTAGTTTTTTTTCTCAAGAATTCTTTACTGCGGATCAATTGTTTTTTATGAACATAATAAAATAGGCAGCATATATCTCATATTACAAAGAGTTAATCATACCTTGAATCAATTGAATCAAGGTATGATTAACTCTTTGTAATATAAAATATATGCTGCCTATTTCATTATATATATATATATATATATATAAACTGTGGAGTTGGGATACTGAAGGTAACATCAATTAGCTAAGTGACAAACTTTTTACTTGTATTAATTCTTCCTCTGAACATATTATCACTTAAATGTTATTTTTAGTGGATACACATATTTGAGTAGACACTGTTTATTTATGAAACAATATATTTATTCATTTTTTTCCACCAGCCTGAATATTTCAGAAATCTTATTAGAGAAAAATATCCGCTCTCTGCCAGGTTTTAAATCTGCCTTTAAATCTGACATTTGAGCTGATGTGCCTTTGACCTCTTAGCTACAGAGTGCATCAATGACCAAGCAAAGTAGAATTGTGCCTTAAAACACAGATTTCTCTCTGACTCTTGAAATAAACAAATCTGCTTTCCCTGACTCTCAGAAATAGACATAGCTGAGCAGATACATCTATTTCAACCTAAATAAAGAAGTGTGTCTCAGTATTGAAGTATTTGTTAGTGAGTCTAGTCTGGTTGACTATTACTACTGTAGTGAGTTTGATCCTTCCTAGCTGCCTCATAAAGAAACTGACATTAAATAATGGTTGACATGTCAAATTCAACCAACCAAAATAAATATGTGCCTGGGCATAAGTTAATAGTGTGGTGAGTCTGGTTAACTATTACAAGTGAGTAGTGAGTTTGATCCACACTGGGTGCCCCATATAAAATTTGATATTAAATAACACAAGGGTTGACATCTTAAAATCAACCAATCTGACCGAACCAAACTTCTTTACCATGTTTGAGCAACAATTTAAAAGATTTCATGTTTGTTTAATGGCATATTAACTCCTTATGGGTCATATAATGTTGAAATTTAATTTTCTTGGGAGCTGTGGTAATTGTTTATTTTTTTTACTACAAAATTCTATTGCTGTCATTATTTTTATTATAAAAATCTATTGCTGTCATTTTTTTACTACTATAAAAATTTATGGCTGCCATTTTTTTTTTTTACTATAAAAATCTATGGCTTCATTTTTTTTTTACTACCATAAAAATCTATTGCTGTTATTTTTTTTTTTACTATAAAAATCTATTGCTATCAATTTTTTTTACTGTAAAAATCTATTGCTGTCATGTTTTTTTTTACTATAAAAATCTATTGCTCATTTTTTTTTTTTTTTACTATAAAAATCTATTGCTGTCATTTTTTTTTACTATAAAAATCTATTGCTGTCATTTTTTTTTTTTACTATAAAAATCTATTGCTGTCATTTTTTTTTTTACTATAAAAATCTATTGCTGTTTTTTTTTTTTTTTACTATAAAAATCTATTGCTGTCATTTTTTTTTTTTTATAAAAATCTATTGCTGTCATTTTTTTTTTTTTACTACAAAAATCTATTGCTATCATTTTTTTTTTTTTTACTATAAAAATCTATTTTTTTTTTTTTTTTTACTATAAAAAATCTATTGTTGTCATTTTTTTTTACTATAAAAATCTATTGCTGTCATTTTTTTTTTACTAAAAATCTATTATTGTCATTTTTTTTTTTTTACTATAAAATCTATTGCTGTCATTTTTTTTTACTATAAAATCTATTTTTTTTTTTTTTTTTACTATAAAAATCTATTGCTGTCATTTTTTTTTTTTTTTATAAAAAATCTATTGTTGTCATTTTTTTTTTTTTTTTACTATAAAAAATCTATTGCCATCATTTTTTTTTTTTTACTATAAAAATCTATTGCTGTCATTTTTTTTTAAAAAAATCTATTGCTGTTATTTTTTTTTTTTTACTATAAAAAATCTATTATTGCTGTTTTTTTTTACTATAAAAATCTATTGCTGTCATTTTTTTTTTTTACTATAAAAATCTATTTTTTTTTTTTTTTACTATAAAAATCTATTGCTGTCATTTTTTTTTTTTTACTATAAAAATCTATTGCTGTCATTTTTTTTTTACTATAAAATCTATTGCCATCATTTTTTTTTTTTTACTACCATCATTTTTTTTTTTTTTCTTTTGCTGTCATTTTTTTTTTTTTTTTTTACTATAAACCTATTGCTGTCATTTTTTTACTATAAAAATCTATTTTTATATTTTCATAGTTTTTGATACTAGTTTGGGGGGGTTCACTATTTGCCCATATCTGGGGCCCTAAGAGGTGCTACCATCTCAGATCAAGGTGCACCTGGGAACAACAGCAAATAAAAGGTGGTTCCATGCTTCTAAAGCCTCCTACCCGCAATCAGAGGCCTTGCTGCTGGATGTAGTTTATTGTCATACCCAGGACGGAATTTCATGTGATAAACATTACTTTTGTTTTTTTTCTCTTACCAGAACTTACCTTTGGATTTTCTAGAAAGTATGAAATTCTTACCTTTGGTTGATCAAGCCAGACATCTGATAAGAAAATAAACATTGCATCTTGGTTCTCTGACTCAAGATGCCGCAGACTTGCAGACGCTTTGGCAGAGGTTGGCAAAGGACCTCCAAAGAAATTCATGTTCCCAAAATATGATCTGAAAATGAGTGAATGAAAAAAAAAAAGCAAATAAATAAATAAATAAAAATAAATGAAAAAAATGAAGAAAAACGAAAAAATGAAAAGAAGTAAATTAAGAAAAAAACGAAAAAAATGAAGAAAAAAATGAAGAAAAAATGAAAAAGTAAATGAAGAAAAAATGAAAAAAAAAAAATGAAAAAAGTAAATGAAAAAAAAATTAAAAAATAAAAATAAAAATCAAATAATGGTGAAAATACAGTTGACATTATATAAATATATGTACACATGTACATGTTAGTAAGTATATTGTGAGAAAATAACAATGTGGAAGTGGGCTCAGATCCCAAAATCAGAAATCCTGGGTCACAAGTCCAAAGTCAAAAATGCTGAGAGTGTAATAATCTGCAACCACAACTTGCAAACTTCTTCACTCCCAAAAAACCTATAATCACCCTGTCATCCAAGGTAGCATCCTTTTATTGGGGGTAATAAAGTCATTGAGTGGTCGAGACAGGTATATGCGACTGCAAAAAGTACCATATTTCAACGCATTACTAAAGTAGAACAGATGTCAATTTCCTTTTTGACAAACGGTACAGAGAAGGCAAATTCTTGGTTTTCTTCTTCTTTGCCACATATATAGGGTACGATGGATAAATTGTCGCCATGTTATATTTTTAATTTCATGCATGTACATTGTTTTTGATTTTGTCAACTGTATTAGAGTCAGTTAGAAAAAGATTATCATGGCAAAATTCACTCCACCAGAAATTTGGAAATGGCATTCTGTAGTGTTTCGCATTCACACCAGAAGCTCCAATACAAACATTTCAGAATGTTTGGGTGTCAAAAGACCTGGGTGGGAGTGTGAATGGGATGATAGGTGAAATTATCTACCCTATTCACAAATAAATATATATATATATATATATATATATATATATATATATATATATTTTTTTTTTTTTTTTCATTTCAACCTTTAGAAGTAAAGTCTGATGATCCAGAGCCCTTTGAAAGAGCTGTGGTGAAATAATTTATCACATGGAACCTTAAAGTGGTTTGTTTTTTATTCAAACAAATATATATATATATATATGTGTGTGTGTGTGTGTGTGTGTGTGTGTGTGTGTGAAGAGTATATATAAATATAAATAAATATAAGTATGTATAATCATTTATATATTATATGCACGGTACTTATTAGAAAGTGCTCAATATCAGAGATAGAGCTAATATTTGTTGATAGATAATTTTGGACCCTGGGTTTTCACGCTTAGCGATCACAGGCAAACTAAAGCGTGAAACCCAGGGTCACAAACTCACATCTATCCAACTAATATATATATATATATATATATATATATATTATATATATATATATACATTTATTATTCAGACTATTGTCCTCATCTTTGTCACCATATTTATCACAACGCTTCAGCCGCTGTATGCCCGCCTTCTTCGGTGGTTGGAATTTCAAACTGAACCCTTTATTTCGCTTCACTGGGTAGACTGTTCTAGTTCCACGTGCCATGTTTGATGGATGTCGTTATCAGTTATCTCCTGTTACTTTCCCTGAAAGTTCTCCACCGCCTTAACCGGTATTGAACTCACACTTTTGGGTCCTGTCACTGGATCTAACCAACGCCTTTATCCACTGTGCCATGTGTCCCCAAGGACTCGAAATTCCAACCACGTGAAGAAGGCCGGAACATACAACGGCTGAAACCTTGTGATAAATATGGCGACAAAGATGAGGACAATAGTCCAAATAATGTAAATAATGTACATAATACCTCATCTAAGATATATAGATATATATATATATATATATATATATATATATGCTCATACATGCACGTGCACACATATATAGGCACATACATATGTGCGTGCGCACACACACACACACACACACACAAATTATGCTGGTCAATGGTCTATTATGGGTAGAAAGGTCTAAGAGAAGATAAAATAGGGGGCCACCTATTTGCGTATAAACTCAACTAACATTTAACTTTTAGACACTATTGTAAACTGGATCCGAGCCTACCTTTTTGAACCCAGTGTAAACTGGACCTGAGTCTACCTTTTTGAACCCAGTGTAAACTGGATCCGAGTCTACCTTTTTGAACCCAGTGTAAACTGGACTTGAGTCTACATTTTGACCCCAGTGTAAACTGGACCTGAGTCTAGCTTTTTGACTCCAGCATAAACTAGACATGTCTCTACCTTTCTGGCCCCAGCAAAAAACTGGATCTGTGTCTACCTTTTTGAATCCACATGTTCATATTTGTGCCTGTTAGCATTTTCTTGTTTCAGGGACAGGTAAATATTGGTCATTTATAGAGGGTGTGGCAGAAGTACCTCCCGCATAATATTAAGATTAGTGGCAATGTTGTCTTCATCGTCTTAAGCTAATAGCTTTCCATTATGCGGGAGGTATTTATGCTACACCCTGTATTTAAGTCTGTAAACATTTATTTTGAAGATTGCCCCTTTTGTGGGTGTCTTACTCCTCTACAGCTGATATAACTAGTATATTCTCGACCCTGCCAACAAGGCAGCGACATTTTGAATATAGTATATTCTATACACTTCTATAGTCATGTGACGACTAAAGCCAACTCAGTGAGATTTTATATAACAGATGCCAAAATATAAGCTAAAGCTAATATAATAATTTCAGAATTAGTTCTAAAAACAATGGCTCATCTTAATTTCAGTTATTAATCAGGATAATGAAGAATTGACTCATCTTAATAAGCCACTTATTTTGACACTCAGTCACAATTATTTACTTCCCGCCCCCTTATTTTTTTTTTAAAATAATAACAACCCTGGGCTTTATGAATCTGAAATATACCCAGGGTCACCACTTGTTCTGGTATTAAATATATGCACCAAGGTGAAACAGCTGGTCAGCTAGTGTCCTTTAAATTCACCCACATGAAGCTTATTGTTTCCAATGAACTAAATACAACTTGAAGGCCACTGACACAAAGGGATTTAGCCATGACATGAAAGAACTTAGGGAGAAACAATTGCCCTTTGATGAGAATTCTCTCTCTCTCTCTCTCCTTTGCTTGCTTTTCTCTTTATTCCTCTCTCACACCATCTCTCTTTCTATCCATTTGTACATGCGGCTGGCTGTTTTTAATTTTTGTCCTGTATCAAAAGCTGCCTTTTCACTTATTCTCTCTTCAACTTGCTCTCTTACTTTTGCTTGCTCTCTCTCTCTTTCTCCATCTGATTACTTTTTCATTCTCTTCTCTTTATATTTTTAGTCATTTCTAAAAATAGTAACAAGAAATTACTAGCCGTGAAAGGAAAGCCAGTGGAAGGGATGAAGGTGAGAGAAAGAGAGAGGAAAAAAAATGGATGAAGGTAAAAGAAAGAGTGGGATGGGGGAGAAATTAAGACAAAAGAGAGAGAGAGAGGGAAGGGATGAAAGAAAAAGAGGGAAGGGATGAAAGAAAAAGAGGGAAGGGATGAAAGAAAAAGCAAGTGGGAAAAGATGGGGGGTTAGAGAAGAAAAGCAGTGAAAGACAGTGGGAGAGATGAAGGTGAGAGAAAGAGAGAGGAAAAAAAAGGGATGAAGGTAAAAAGAAAAAGAGAGGATGGTGGAAGGGATGAAAGAAAAAATTAAGAAAAAGAGAAGGATGAAAGAAAAAGAAGGATGAAAGAAAAAGAGGGAAGGGATGAAAGAAAAAGAGGGAAGGGATGAAAGAAAAAGAGGGAAGGGATGAAAGAAAAAGAGGGAAGGGATGAAAGAAAAAGAGGGAAGGGATGAAAGAAAAAGAGGGAAGGGATGAAAGAAAAAGAGGGAAGGGATGAAAGAAAAAGCAAGTGGGAAAAGATGGGGAGGGTTAGAGAAGAAAAGCAGTGAAAGACAGTGGGAGGGATGAAGGTGAGAGAGAGAAAGGAAAAGACTGATGGCAAAAAAAAGTGACTGAAATGGGGGAGGAATTAAGGAGAGAGAAAGAGATAAAAAGAGGGAAGGGATGAAGGAAAAAGAGGGAAGGGATGAAGGAAAAAGAGGGAAGAGTAAAAGCCATGAAAAGAAAGCCAGTGGAAGGGATGAAGGTGAGAAAGAGGGATTAAAGCAAGGAGTGAAGGCAAAAGAAAGGGAATAAAATGGAAGAGGGATTAAAGCAAAAGGGAGAGAAAAAGAGAGAGAGGTTGAAGGAAAAAGAGAGAGGGGATGAAGGAAAAAGAGAGGAAATGCCACGAAAGAAATGTCAGCGGAAGATATGAAGGTGAGAGAGAGAGACAAAGAAAGGAATGAAGGCAAAAGAAAGAGAGTGAAATAGGGGAAGAATTAAGGTGAGAGAGAGAGAAAAAAAAGAGGGAATGAAAGGGAAAAGGAGAGATAGAGAGGAAAATAAAAGAATGAAGTCAAAAGCGACAGAGAAAAAGGAGAAAGGTATGAAGGTAAAAAAAATGAAATACAGAAAAAGTTGGAAGGAATGAAGGTGAGAGAGAGAAAAAGAGGGAAGGGACCAAAAGAAAAGAGAGGGATAGAGAGAAAAAGCTGTGAAAGGAAAGCCAGTGAAAGTAAGAGAGAGAAAGAGTAAAGGAATGAAGGCAAAACAAAGAGAGTGAAATGGGGAAGCAATTAAGGTGAGAGAGAGAGAGAAAAGAAAGAAGGGATGAAGGAAAAAAGAAAGGGAAAGAGGGGTATAAAGAGGAAAAAGGAGAAAGGAATGATGGTGAAAGAAAGAAAAAATTGGAAGGAATTAAAGTAAAAGAAATATATAGAAGAAGAAAAAAGAAAAGGAATGAAGGCAAAAAATAGAAAATGTAATGGAGACAAAAGAAAGACAAAAATAGGATATTATTTGTCTATCTCTTCGATAAAAGCGCTTGTAGCTTATTTTATTTTTTACTTTTGCAGTTTGATGCCCATCATTACATATACATATTACATATACAGTCAAGTAGATACTATGGTGTGTGTGTGTGTGTATATATATATATATCTATAAAAGGCAGGATGTGTGTGTGTGTAACGCATGCACTGCCACAATTTTCGACAGATTTGCACCAAAATTTACATGCACATGCTCCAAGTTAGCGGGAAGGCCAAGACCGATTTTGCATTTCCCAACTCCCATTGATAGTGGAACAAATCGATTTTTTCATGCTTCTACAGCAGTTTTCATGTAGTTTGCAGCCATTTTCTATTGGCCAGAGTGAGAGCCTATAGCTGGCTGCCACGAATAGGCAGGAAGATTATATTGGCCAGCGTGAGACCCAACAGCTGACTGATATGAATTTTAACTAGCATGCAAAAAAAAAAATTGATAGCTGCATTCGTCACAAGTGGGAAAAATTTAAATCTGTATGGCACTTTACTCCAATTGGCTCATTCGCTTGCTTAAACTCAACGTTGATTCTGATTCCGCAGAACTGGGTTGGGTGTGAAAAAGTATTTGTTAACATTCTTTTTCATTCGGTTTTTCCAGTTACGAGTCCTTTTTTTAAAGCTGATCGTTTTGTGTTCATTTTGTTTAGTTCTTTTTTTTTTTCAGTAAGAGATTTAATGTTTAGTATAGAGCTTAGAAAAATTAAGCAGTGTGAGATAGGCAAGAAGTAAGGCATGTAGCAACATCAGCATGGCAAAGGGCACTCCTTTAAAGGTGAGGAAGGGCAAAAATATTTTAAGTCAAGTGATAGCGATTGCTGTATGAGTCGTACGATTTTTGAATAAAGCACGGGCAACGCCGGGCCATGCTGCTATTATATATATATATATATATATATATATATATAGTGTTAAAACAATGCTAGATATAATACAACAGAGCTATTAAGTACATATTAATACATATATTATGTCTCACCAATAGCACAACTCAGAGTTTCATGCACAATGCAATCATCAGGTGCTGAGCATAGACTGACCGTGACATAATTTAAATTTAAAAAAATATCTGGTTATCACAACGTTGGTGCAGTTATATATTATACTGGGGTTACAGTTCTTAATTTTTAAAATTGTATTTCGCATTTAAAATAAACAATTCATATGTGTGTGCGCATAAAAAAAACAAAAAGTTACTTTAGAGTTGTGAATATTAATTTTTTATTTTTATATTAAGCATAAAGGGAGATCTTTAAAAAACAAACAAAACAAAACATAATTTGGATTAAAAATTAATCTGGACCAACATATTTAAGCAGATACTTATTTTTATGCCTATATGTAATCATCAATTCATTTCTCTTATATATATATATATATATATATATATACTCATCCTGGGTAAGACATTAAACTTCATCCGTCTCCTGGGTAAGACGATAAACTACATCCAGCAGCAAGGCCTCTGTTCAGTAGGTTTTGAGGAGCGCGGAACCACCTCTTAATTGCTGGTGTTCCCAGGTTCACCCTGACCCAGGGTGGTAGCACCTGTTAGGGTCCCAGCTATAGACAAATAGTTAACTATTACCAGAAATACAATTTTGAAGGAAAAATATTACCAGAAACAGATTTTTGACAAAACAAAATATTACCAGCAATAAAGAATTTTGTTGGCATTAAATATCCTACTGAGGTTGATATGCCGTAAAACAAAATAAACCAAACCAATCTAAACCAAAGAATACATATTCTATTCATACAAATCTATCCTAAAAATGTTGTTGGCATTAAATAACCCATTGATGTTGATATGCTGTAAAACAAAATAAACCAAAGCATATATATATATATATATATATATATATATATATATATATATATATATATATACATACAGACACTAGCTGAAAAGCTGTCCTATCAGGCCGCATTTAAGCTAGCTCCTGTTGAGAGCTCTTAATTGGGCCTTCATCACAATAGATATAGAGGAGTAGATGTGATAGGCAACAATAAACTATGGAAGAACTCAAAATTGATTGCTGCATTTAAGAATTGCATTAATATATAAGATTACCTTTGAAAAGTTCAACGATAATTCTTCTGCCGCCACTTAATTTAAAGACAGTTCGATGTATGTCGGTCCTTACTTTTCATACAAACAATTATTTTTATTTCATGGGTGACTTTTGCTGGATTTTGCAATTAATTTTGATTATTTCCAAATTTATTTTCAAGTTATAAAAATAGTTATTGTACAAAAAAATTTGTTGCCAAAAATCATGTAAAAAAATTGCTGAAATAATCACAGTAATCAAAATTTGTGAATTGCAAATTTTAGGATTCTGGGTCTGGATCTGACCTGGAATGTTTTTACTTTGCTCACAAAGTTGAACTGATTCCAAAATGGTATGATATGATGGGCTACGGCCTCTAAGAGTAAAGTTGAAAAAGTGTGACACACTGACGTTTGCATTTATTATATAAATGTAAAAGTGAACACTGAAGTCAACACTGAGTGGCAAGAGAGTTTCATGCTTGAACGATCTTCGGGCTATGTGTGTTGTGTTTGCTTGACTATATATGCTGGTCAATTGCGCATTATGAGTAAGCAAGGTCTATTCTATTATCCTAATGGTTATTAGGTAGGCGATAATGGTTATATTCCAAATTATTTTAGAGGCTATTGAGTAGAAATAATTTTGAATTCGAATGCGGTTATTTGTAGCTATTATATGATCTTGCATTGAATATCAGAAAAGCACTTTTTAACTCATTCACACACACTGCGCATTCATGTTCCAAAAGTATAGCAATAAAAACAAGCATATTAAAAGTAGAGCAAGACAGAAGAGAATAATTTATATTTGCCAAATGGAGATTAATCAAAAAAGGGAGAAAAAGAAAAAGAAGCAAAGTCGATCAGTTATTATTCCTTATTTGTCAGAGCTCTCGAAGAAGACTAAAACAGACGGGCACCACAGAAAAAAAAAAGTGTGTGTGGGTAAACAACCAAAACATGAGCTTTTATATTATTTACATTAGGACTAATGTCCTGCCACTTCCATCTTTGTTATTATTATCATCAAAATGTTTCACCTGTCGTGCCTGCTGGTCTTCTTCAGGCGTCTGTCGATTCAGGTAACTTTCAGGGAATTTTGAAACTAAACCCTTTATTTAATCTATAGATTGTTCTCATTCTACTGTCAATGTCTACTGATATTTCATTGTTTTTTTTTAGCACTGCTTCCACTATGACTAAGTCTTCAAAGAAGTACACTGACCAAGTCCCCCCAGAAGATTGATGTAATATGGACTAATTACCAATTGATAGTGATGACTGGCAAAGATGGTCTAATGAAATGAAGCACATATGAGAAAACTCAAAATGATGATTGCATATGATAGTTGTTGATTATGACCATCACTGACAAGTACTAACAATCATAATGATTCTTGAGTTGTCAAGCAATTTCAAAAATTTACTGCACAGGTGGAACTTGTAGGCCACTGATCGTTGGAGAGTTAGTGCCTCCTGGGCTTGCTGGCTAGGGATTTTCAAGTGTCTGGTCAGTCTAGATTGACAGGTCTGCAGATAAGATCATTTTTAATCTGCCATGCTTAGTAATTACACTTGGGTCTTGCCATGTGACATTTCATTTGATTGACGAAACTGGCTTGGGACAAACAAAGGCGATTGCATTCTGAATATGTAAACTATGGGATATTTTCATTAATGGCTCATACCTTTCTGGTCCTCAGCGTGTTGCTTGCCCTTGAAATTGCAAAATTGTTGGAAAATCTTCACCGTTACCTGGACACAGGCTTTTCGCTTGTTTCAGGAGGAATCATTGAATTCCTAATCTGCATCGTCCATCATGCATATCTTAACACTGTGATAGTCACATGGGGTGTTTTGTTAACCCCAAAACATTTTAAGTACTTGTAATTCCTAGTTAGCAACTGGTTTCTTTTGCTCCCTCCCACTACTCCCCTGACTGAGGGCATGTAGCATGCAGTGTGGCACAGTTGTTTTTTTTTTTTGGTGTCCTGTCACCCCACCTGACTAACAAAGGAAATTTTTCATATATATATATATATATATATATATATATATATATATATATATATATATATATATTTAAAAGAAAAAACAGACCCCTTTAAGGTACCATTATAATAATTTATTTCACCAGAGTAATATTTTAAATTAATATACAATAAAATTAAAATCTTTTGACAAAAAACCATAATGATTTCACTATAATTATGTAACAATAATGTAATGATATACCGCAGGCAAATCAACGGTTTATGTTACCTCATCTTGTTGCATGGTTACGAACTATAAACCTAAACTGAGCTTGAAATGTTGTGTAATTGGCTCTAATTTTTTGTAAAATACTTGGATATGATATAATAATTTGCAGCTGGAAAAGCAATTTTTTAATTTTTGTTGAATTTGCCCCTACTTTATATATATATATATATAATTTAAATAAAAACAGACCACTTTAAGGTTCCATGTAATAAATTATTTCATCACAGCCCTTTTTAAAAGGACTGCAGATCATCAGACTTTACTTCCAAACAAAAATGAAAAGAAAATTTACACATTTTTGACGGGCAATAAAACATATGTAAATTGAGGAAGTGAGTGGGGAGAGAGAGAAGACATGAGTGAGTTAGCAGATACTGACACATTTAAACGGTTAACTTAACGGAAGTTATATATTGATATAGAAGGGGTAGAGAAAAAAACCCATAGAGAGAAAAAAGAGGAAGGAAGTTATGAGAAGAAGATGTCACTAATTTTCTTTGTAAAAAAAGGCTAGAAACAGACGCTGTTATTTTGTTTTACTTTGAAATTGTTATTTTGGGGGTTCATAAAGATTATAATGTTTGATATAAATTTGAATGTCTCTAAACTGTCTACAAATAATTTAATTTGATGTTTGTTAGTGATTTAAATTTTTTAAAAAATTTTGGGGATTTTCTATGAAATAGTCGATTAGAAAAATATTCATAGAAAGTACATTAAAAGAATAAAATTTTATTTTAAAATATAAGTTTATTTCTAGTAATTTTTTTTTAATCTCTTTAAAAATTTTTATTATTGATTATTAAGTTGACATCTCTATCCATTTGAATTTTGTTCATGAATTTAACTCATGGCTGTTTCTAGATAGGTAATCTCTTTTACTTAAATTTTAGTTAAGTAAATATGGGGTAATATTTGAAGGTAATATTAAAGATCTTGCTTTGTCATATACTGTATACACACCCATGCAAATATCATATATACACATGTTCCTTTACATACTCAATCACTCATACAGGTACCCATGTACTGAAATACACAGGTAACTTCATGTATTAACATATACACGCATACATACACACACACACATGTATTATTACTTTCAGTCCTTGAAAGTAATGAGTTTAGCCAAGGTAATATCTTTCTATTTATGGAAATATAGTGTGGCTAATTTTGATAAATAAAACTTTTCTCTATTATTTTTTCACCTATAATTTAGAATATATTTTTATGTACCTGTAATCCATTAATCTCCACCATTCAGAAAAAAAAAAAGAGAAAGAGAGGGATGGTGGGCATTAATCATTTAATTTGATGTCGGTTAGAAATTTATTATTAATTTCAAAGAAAGTTCAAACTTACCTTGTGACATTTGCTGGCTCAGGTGGCGGGAAACCAAAGGCTGTAACATGGAATATGCCATCATCATGCCAACCTTCAGCTAACACAAAACAGTTTTCAGTAAAGAGACCTGTGTGGAAACTGTGTCCATGGTTAAGGAAAATAAGCAGATTTAAATTGAATGACAAGCTTCTCTTTTCATAAGGTAGTTGTTCTGAGGTGATGATGTTCTAGAAAAGGCATAGCCAACCTTTACAACCAGTGGGCTGCACTTTGCTGGGTAAATTTTCAATACAGAAGACCATACACAGAAGCCTCTAATTTAGAAATGGGGAAAAGTGGATATTTTGGGAGAGAAAGGATTCTTTCTATAATTAAAAACTGAAAGGATTCTTTCTATAATTAAAAACTGAAAGACTTGGTATAATATCATTGATGACAACGTGATTAACATACACTGTTGTGCATGATTTTTTTCTAATTTATTCATTTGAAAATAGAAAAAATATTGTATTAAATAAGAATATATTTCTTCTCCAGAGAAAAAAAAAAAAAAATGAACATTTCCTGTTTTGAAAGAAAAATTTGTTTACACAAATGATCTTCCATAGGGAAAATTGCCAAAGGTTTAAAATGATGAAAAAGTTATAAATGAAAGGTTATAAAATTTAAGAAACATTAATCCTTGTTTTTATATGAGAGAGCATATGAGTGAACAAATGAGAATGAAATGAAACATAACAAAATTTAAATAAATGATATTTTCCTCTTGAAATTAGGTGTGTTATTTAGAAAGACAAACAGACTACATGTAGCCCATGGCCCAGTTTGCCCATGACTGTTGTAGAACAATTTCATCACAAATCTGGGTGAGAACTGTCTAATCCCCTGAACAAGATCGCACAGCTCAATAGGGGAGGAATTGGATTGTAAAGGATTCAATCCTTCTAAAACCAAGCTAGTAACGTTTCATCTTCAGAGAGCAAAACCCTGAGTTTTCTCCAGTCATAATGAATGTTCATGCTCTCAATGAAGCTCTTTGCTGTGTGTGTTTGGGGCTCTAGTTCAACCCAGATCTCAAGTGGAACGCGTATGCACAATCCATCACTAAAGACACTGGTTGGCTCCTTATACCATTCCAGAAAGTACCTGATAGCTCTATCTTTACAAGAGTTAGATCAACCTGAAAATAAAGTATTCCTGCCATATCTAGGCTCTTTCCCACAGGCCATCCAATGCTAAAGATGCCGAGAAAATGGCCAGCTCATTCTTCTGCATATCTGGAGCCACCCAATCTTCTTTCCAGTTATGACGGATTTCAAAAGCCTTGTCAATGACACATAATTTGACATCAAACTAGCCCTCTCCATCAGGCACAACGTCACAATCCTCTGATCACAGACTTTTTTAACAGTAATTTGTAGTGAAAGAGATAATCAGCAACCTCGAAAAAGAGTTTGTGTTTTGTGTGTGATCTGCTGAAGAAAAATTACCAAAAAGTAGTTAGCAAAAATCTACTTTAAGGACCAGAATCTATGCTAATGTTCTTCCCTCCCCTGAATGGTGTGACCAATCAGAAAGATCTCTTGGTGAACAAAAGCCGTTGTTTTTCGCTTATGAGGCATTAGATTTTCTGAGCTTAGTGGACAAACACGCGTTTTTGTTGGTGAAAAGTGAAGGTTGGATGTATGACCCCATTTTGTCGTTTCTATGTTGCTTGTTGGACTGTTGACGGACTATTGTTTGAACTGTGATTTGGCTACAAGTGTTTCGGTCGAGAGGCAGAAGAAATTTATTGCAGACGTTTGTTGCTACTATAAGTTGACAGTTTTTTTTTCTTCTTTTTCTTTTCAACTACAAAAACATACTACAATAATTTAAAATAGTTTTCTTTGAATGTTTAATTCTGGTTTTAACTAAAAGAAAAAAAAAAAGGTGAAGTTTGATTTTAATATCAATACGTATCATTCAAGATTGACTTCAAATCCACTATGACTGCTGCTTGCTGACAGAAAACTTTAAACTCTGTAAATAAAACCTTCCAAATATTAGTTAAGGAAATGATCATTTAGCTTGATTTTCAAAACAAACAATTACTTTTTACTCAAAATATAGTGAAAAATACATTTGTTTACGAAGGGGGTGGGTTGTCTCTCATCTCAATTTAAAGGTTGTGAGTATGGAAATGGTTTTCTTTATATCAAAAGTATTGAGACTGGTGCTATAAAAAGAAAATACATTTCTTTACAGGGTGTGTGTGTCCTATCTCTCATCTGAGTCCAAATGTCACTTAAGTATGGAATTGGTTTTCTTTATACAAGGTCTGATCAAAAAGTATCGAGACTGGTGGTATAAAAAGAAAACTACAACACATTATCAATTTGGCGTTTAATCTCCTCTCAAAGTAGTCCCTTTCTAAAGCCACACACTTCATCCAACATTCCTGGATAATGAGCAGTTGCCTCACTTTATTCCCTTGGACTTCCTTGATGTCTTGAAATCTTGTTCCTTTCAAGTGGGGTCTGATTTTGGGAAAGAGGAAAAAGTCGCAAGGGGCAACATCTGGGGAAAATGGTGGTTGTCGAACCTGAGGAATGTTGGTCTTAGCCAAAAACTGCTGCAAAAGCCATGGTCATTCACTGATGAAACATGTGGTATGTTGAGAAAACCACACTCTACACACTTTCCTTCCAAGCACTATTATAAACAATGGAAGTGAGCAAGAATGTTATACATGCATTACAGAGTTCAAGGTCAATCTGTACCAAGCAGTTTCACTGTGTAATTTAGTTCTCTTATGGCAGCCCCAATAAGTCTGATCAGACCTGGTATGTTATGAATGCTAGATTAAATACACACATATGGGTGAACAGCTGAAGTATGGATGACAAAACCTGATATTGCCTACCATGGCAAAAAGCATATCCCCAACTTTCAAACAATGTCCTACAATGGACAATACTTTTGCTATTAGGAGTTAATAGTTTCCAAATAAAACCTCAGCCCTCTCTTGGAACTGAATGGGGTTGAAATTACAGAGAAAGAGAGATTAGCTAATATCTGTTGGTAAAGGATTAAACATCAGCTGTAAGAAGACAAAATGTATGTCTATCAACAAAAGAAACAGCCCAACATGCAAATTACAAATTGGAGATAGATACTGAAATTAAACAAGTTTAAAAATTTAAAGATCTATGAAGTCTGTCTATATTCCTGAGATGAGGCATTTTAATTATTTACACTATTTATATTGTTCGGACTGTTGTCCTCATCTTTGTTGCCATATTTACAACCTTTTGACCGTTGCATGCTCCAGCCTTCCTCAGGATTTGTCTATATTTCTGAGATGAGGCATTGTAATTTACATTGTTCGGACTGTTGTCCTCATCTTTGTTGCCATATTTACGACCTTTCGATTGTTGCATGCTCTGGCCTTCCTCAGGGTTTGTCTATATTTCTGAGATGAGGCATTGTAATTATTTACACTATTTATATTGTTCGGATAGTTGTCCTCATTGTTGTTGCCATATTCACAACGTTTTGGCCATTGTACGCTCCAGCCTTCTTCAGATGATTGGACACATGGCCCAGTGGATAAAAGCATTGGTTGAATCCTGTGATTTGACCCAAAGAATTGTGAGTTCAATACCTGGCTACAGCAGAGATGAACAAAAACTTGGAAAGTTGAGTTAAAGGGGCAATAACTGATGCTGAGATATCTGGAAGAAGCATGGCATGTGGAACTAGAACAATCTACCCCGGCAGATGAAATAAAGGGTTCAGTTTAAAATTCGAATCACCTGAAGAAAGCCAGAGTGTACTATGGCTGAAACATCGGGAATATTGCAACAAAGATGAGAACAACAGTCTGAACTAATGTAAATAATCTAAGAAGTGTTTTAACAGAGGACGAAAAATGTGACACCAGAATCCGAAGGCACATTGAGATAGTGAAAGATGCCTTCCAAAAATGAAGCAAAATATTGATTCATTGAATAGTTTTCTATAGGAACATAAACACTTTACAGATTTAAAGTTAGAAAATATTTTTAGATTGTAAAGTTTTTTTTTTGCCTTTTGAGATAATAGTGATTTAGTGAGATAAATCTTAATTAACCCATAGCTGGGGCGGGGGAAAGAGTTGGATTGATATCTTTCCCGGGGCTATTTTTGTGCTAGTGAATATAACAAACCAAGCAGGAATTGGAACTCTGCTCTGCAATTAACAATTCCGGGCCATTATTCATTACACCACCTGTAAATCCAAGCTTATAACACTTAGTATTCTCAAGTGGTCACCCATCTAGGTACTGAGCAGGATCGAGGTTGCTTAACTTTGGTGATCGTACCAATCTTTCAGTGTGATGTGGCTGTAAGTTAAGCAAAGTATTATGAAACAGGAAATTTATTTAAAATCAAAGTAAAGAGGGCTGAACTGTTATGTAATATAAGTCCTTCTACATGGTAGAGAATACAGGACCATCTTATTACCGATGAAAAATAGACTTGAGACAAAAAAAAAAAAAAAAGAAAAAAAAAAGAGATACTAAGCATACAATGACCTGATGAGCAACAACAAAGTTTTAGAGAAAATGAAAAACGAAAAGGATATTTATACATAGCATCAGAAACAGACGGTTTAAATTTCTAGTGCATGAGGAAAAAAGGCTTGGAAAATTTGACACACACAGAACAGATTAAAGGCAAGAGGAAAGCAATGCATAACCTACCTAATGAGTTGGCATAAATAGCTGACGGAACAGGGATTAGAAGTTACAAAGCACAGGAAGTTGTGGAGAGCCATGATCGCCCATATCCTGAAGGGACATAGCATGCAGAAGAAGAATGTAATATCAAAAAAGGATATGGCTTGTGAAAGGTCGATTTGTACAGACCCACTAGGATCCTCCAAATACCACTTACCCTGGATGGAAGAAAAAAAAAAAGATGACATTTTAAAATCAAACTGTATAATAATTTTCAATGTATATTTATTTATATATTTCCTGTCCCATCTGTAGTGGGAAGGGAGGTAAAACAAGTTAGTAAATTTATGACTGATTACTTCCCTTAGTTGTTTTAATAATCTATACAAATAAAATATTTATCTACATTAGACAAATTAATTCCCAAACAAACTGAACCATTTAATTAATCATCTAAATTTCTTAAATTGCAGTCTTATTTGTTCAAGCCTTTCATGTGAGGTACTCAAATACCTTTATCTGTTATGGATCACCTTTCTTCAACTTAGTCATAACATAGGTTTTGTTGTTGCGGTATTTGTCATTCTGTTGCTAATGTTTTTAATTTAATTTGTTCCTGAAGCCTGATCATAACCCAAAAATGGATTAATTTGTTCCTGGTCCCAAGATGATTGCTTATTTAAATTTTTACAACAGTACTTTGTGCACAGGTTTATACACAAAACTAATGAAAATCATTAAAACTAAGAGAAAATAAATAAACTAAATACTAATACTAATACTAAATAGATAAAATATAGACAAACACTTTAATTTTACCGTACTCATAAATAGGAGAGTTGATGGCATAAGTGGAAGAGGAAGGAAAAAGATGTTATTGTTTGGAAAGGGGGGGAGGAAAGACCTGATTGTCTCTTTGTTTATAAGAATAGTATAGATTGTTGATTTTGCCATCTCAAACTGAGTAGGAAGAGACAATATCATCAACAATTGTTTTTCTCTTAACTTTTCTTTTTCCTTTACCAGTATCATTGCCAGCTTTCTTTGGATTCAGGACTAATAAAGAGAAAAAAAGGCACAGTACAATAAAACTGGAAAAGAAAAGTACAGCACAACACATGAATGTATACAATATGGCGGTTGATTCAGAAATGATTCCATTTTGGTTAACTCAGTTCGGCAATGTTGTTTGAGAACCAAAAGTTTTGTTCGATAACTGAGGCATTTTCATCTTGAATCTTCTGTTCAAAAACCGATTTGTTCAACATGGGACGTTTGAGAATTGAGGTTTCTTTGTATTTCAATTTTACTGTTATATCAAACACATCAAACTTAACATAAAAAAAGTTATTGAGCAAAAGGTGATTTATATGATACCAGGTGTAATCAACAAATCAACAATACCATTAAACGTTTAAAAAATATCATGGGAACAGGTTAATTAAATGTTTCATTGGCCACTATTTTAGTTTGGAATTCTTTACTACGGTTTAATTGAATCTCACTATTAAAACTTTCTAACAATTAGCACCGGTACACTAGCATATTCGTAACACTCAAAACACATTGCTACTTAGCTTCAATATTTTAAGCCTTATAATGATCACACAGTGGAAAACCAAATCATAGTACCATCAGTGACTTAATACTGTTTCCATCAAGTATATTGCAACTGTGGTTGAAATTTTACTTTTGAGCCTGATCAACCATCATTGATGAGGAGTTATTATTTAAATACAAACTATTGTTCACATATTTTTGTGATCCCAATGTTTCAGCCATTTTGCCCTCCGGCCTTCATCAGGTGTATGTTGAGTGAGGTAACCTACATGAAACAACAGCCATTGACTAAGCATGGTGAGTATGGCTACATCGCTGAGATACGGTCATTGAGGGAGGAGTTCCTCCAACAGGAGTGAATAGGTCCTGGATTTGGATCCTTTGAGAATAGCGTATAAAAATGTATTAAATATGAGTAAATAGCAGGATAAGTTGTTGGGTCCTATAACCTTGGGTGGCAGCCAAGGATAACTCTAAAGTCAAAACCTCCAACTATGGGTTAAATAGCTTCACCAACCTATAATTGGCCAAGCATGGTGTGTTTGGTAAGATGCCAGAAAACAATCAATCAGGAAGGAGTACCTCCAACAGGACTGAAAAGGCTCTGGATTTGGAACCTTTTAGAATAGTGTATAAAATGTACACTATTTACATTATTCAGACTATTGTCCTCATCTTTGTCGCCATATTTATTACAACATTTCGGCCATTGTACACTCCGGCCTTCTTCAGCTAGTTGGAATGTTGAACTGAACCCTTTATTTCGCTCACTGGGGTAACTGACATCCATTAAAACATGGCATGTGGAACTAGAACAGTCTATCCCAGTGAGCGAAATAAAGAGTTCAGTTCAACATTCCAACTACCTGAAGAAGGCCGGAGTGTACAATGGCCGAAACGTTGTAATAGATATAGTGACAAAAATGAGGACAATAGTCTGAATAATGTAAATAGTGTATATAATACCTCATCTCAGAAGTATAGACAGATACTAAAGGGCCAAAACATTGTGATAAATATGGTGACAAAGATGAGGACAATAGTCCGAATAATGTAAATAATGTACATAATACCTTATCTCAGAAGTATAGACAGATACTAAAGGGCCAAAACGTTGTAATAAATATGGTGACAAAGATGAGGACAATAGTCCAAATAATGTAAATAGTGTACATAATACCTCATCACAGAAATATAGACCGATACTGTAAAAAATGTCTTAAATATAGGTAAAAAGAGAGGGATTGTAGGGGTTTCATCTCGGATAATGGCAGATGTTTGTAGTGAAGGATTAAATTATGTTTTATGACCTGTTGTGGACATTTCAGTATTTTTAAGAGAGACTATGCCACTTTTCTTATATCTGTCTGCAAATGGCAGGGGTATGATACGAAATTTGTATCTTCAGATTTAGTGCGTACCTATTGCTTTTTGAAGATTTCTATAATACTAAGCAGAATCCATAGAAAAAAACGATTTGGGGTACTTTTGATGAATTGCTGCCCTTAAAACTAAAAATCTGAATATTTGATAGTCTGAGACATCTCGTGTCGATCAACAAGAATGTTTTTTTGTTGTGCAATGTAATTATGATGAATAACACAACTGTATGAGACTAAAGATTTAGGTTTTTCATCACTTTAGTCCTGAAAAACAGACGAAAAAGTGTCCAAAATGAGCATTTTAGGGGTCAAAATACCAAAATTATACAAACTTGGTAACCATTTGGGAAAATGCTAACCTAAAATCCTCAGACGTCCTCAGAAATTTGTTAATTTCATCCAACTATTGAACCATTATATTCATTATGCTCAAGAATTTGGGGTAAAATCCCATTTCAGCCCAATATACAATCAAATATAAAATAGAATGAATACTGAAAATTCACAGACCATGAAAATCCCTGACCAATTTCATTTTTGCATGACATATTAGCCAGAACATATCATCCCACCGAAAAACCAAAGATTCAAATACTACTTGAAGGTGTAACATGGGGTCCTTATAAACTTACTGGTAATAAGAATATGACGGATTAGATCCGAAATAGGAAGAGATACACAAGTTATGAAGATGATAAAACTTAAAATTCAACTTTAAGCAAACTTCGTCATAACATCACAAAGCTGAATTCCTATTTTAAGAAGCCCTCTACCAGTTTGTTCTTGTACAAATGATTTCTCAATGTGTATGACATTTTCCGTTACTTGGAAACATCCCACTTGCCATCAATATCACATACAACAATGGATTGAGATTTCAAGATGTCTCTGGTTTTGCAGGATGTTTCCATTTTAAATGAGATGATTTTTGAAGTCTATGAAGGTATTCCATTGTATATGTGCCATCAGAATGTTTCTCAAAGCAAACTTCTAAGTATCATGTGTCCACATCACCTTCAGTAAGCAAGGTGACATAATTCATCCCAACCACAATATTGTTCCCATCATCCTCAGTAGAAGAACTAATTTGGAATTAAAAAAGAAACTATTCCGCATTATTGTGAGATGGCAATGTAACATATTCAGACATGGGTTCATTGTCTGAAAGAATTGCACATAAATTCAGCAACTGTTTATCGTGACTAATATTGTTGATCCTGAACAAATCTGGTTGTTGAAGGATATCTGATTTGTGGTAATATCACAACTCGATACGAACAATCTTTTCAACATTATCATTTGTCTTCAGAATATCATGAAGCTCTTCAACACTGGTTGCTGGCCCATTCCAACTTTTGCAAAGTTGAAGACATTTTTTTTTTTTAACAGAAAATTTGAGATTAAAACGCTTCAGTTCTTAAACAACGTAGCTGAACCAAGTTAATATGAATAATTTCTGAGTCAACTGCTGTGTTGTATACATTCGTGTGTTGTGCCATGCTTATCTTTTCCAATTTTATTGTACTGCGACTTTTTTCTCTAAATTTATTTCTATTGGAAAAATAGTTTTGGGTTATGAACAGCCTTCAGGAATGAATTAAATTTGTGAACCAAGATTCCACTGCATTTCTCTATACTGATAACTATACGGATTACTATTTGGCGGTTACTTTACGAGGAGTATTATTGAGCAAGTACTATTAGTGCAAGTGCTATTTGAAGGCGTCTGACACCAGCATTGTTCAATGGTGTACTATAGTTGTATCATCGATTACAAAGTCTCTACTACAACAAGTGTTATAAAAGTGACAACAAGTATTTGTTGACATTACAAAAGTATGGCAATATGTTTAACTTGACCTTTTCGCTGCAGGATATGGTCAAACAGATCAGCTTGGTTGGTACTATTTTTAGATTTGCATGTCACCAAATCAACTCACAATAATACACACCATCACAATTGACAATAAAACAAATCTGATCACTGATTGTATTCTTATTCAACATCATCTTCCAATTTTCCTGTTTTCACCAAATTTTTCAAAACTTTTCCTGTTTCAATGGCTTCTTAATTTTGGCCTCCAAAATGTGACATATCAGATTTTAATTCTGGCACATTAGAAGGATGAGGAGCAGTGTGGATAGTATCTATCTTACTCTGAAGTGGTTTTGTGCCTTCCTTACACACTGTGTGACCTAAATATTGTACTTCCTGTTTAAGGAATTGACACTTGGTACCATTTAATATTATATTCAATAAAACAAGCAGACACTGC